TTAAAGCACGCTTCAAATACAATTATTTTGAAAAAACAAACAAGACACACTTGGCGACCAGAGAAGTCGGTCATATTCACGTCGATGTATCTCAAACGACTTTTACCATACGGTCAATTAATGAGCGCCAGAACAATGAAAAAAACTCTATTTGACTTCATAAAATGAACTACCATGTTGATCAGTGGTATAGAGGCAAAACGAGATTCGTGATCAAGAAGTCGCTACCACGCAGCAACTTTGAATCTGTAGCGGATCGGTACGCTAGTAAAGCCTGACCGACTCAGAAATCTCTATGGCAGATTCTCCAACATCTAGCTAGACTCCCAGAACAAGCTAAGCTATAGCCCAGCTATGGAAGGAAACAGACGTGCAGCACGGAGCACGTTTATTCGGTACGTATATTGATAGCGAAGTGTAATGTATCGTTTGAAGATTAATAGCTAAATATTTCTGAGTAATATTCTATAGCAGGATTTCTATTTGGTCATTGATGAAGTGTCCCACAAATCATTTTATGATGCTTTTAATTGGACGTGGAAAAGCCGAACATTTTGCAGACCTGTTTTTCTGTAAAATAGTGCATTATAGGAATCCTATTTATATTATTCAATGATAATGATTGAATCAGAAGTGAAATGAAAAGATTAATTTTCATAATCTCCGATAGAGCTCGACGTGACACTGACAGCCAGTGAGTATAATCCACTTCTTCGTTAAATTTGATTAGAGTGCCAAAATGTGTTACGATTTCCCATAATCTGGCTTAAATCTTATATTTATTGAATAAAAAGTGTTATAATTACACTTTATGTAATATTAATACTCAATCCTTAGAGACCTACAATCTGTTCAATTTATTTCAAATAGCAGGCGTTTTAATAGTTATCATTAGCCATTTAGCTGACTTCGGGCTTCGCAGACAGGAGGATGAACATCAAAGCGACAAAAAGTCGAGAGGGGGGGGGAACAAATAATGATTCAAAGATGAAAAAGAGACAGACAGACACAAAGGTAAGATGAGTACTGTGAAAGGAGTCGAATATGTCATACAGTGGGGTGATGGTAGTTTGAAGTCAGAAGTCAACTGTTGATTAATAGACCTTTTTTGCCGTATGAGTATACGTTGCCCAGGGTGCACCACGTGGAGGTAAGTCTATCGCACACCCCCCCCCCCCCCCCCCCAATCCGTTTAATAGTTACCGATAGTGAGTAAAAGACTCCGACAGGATTTATGTAATTAGCAGAATCCTCTGAGGCCATTAAAACACACGAATACATTGGTCAAATGTCCCTGGGTCATGATTATTGTCTAAGTTTATAAAAAATTTAACCTTGTCTCAGTTAAAAGCTTCAAAATTCATCTCTAAATGTTCATTATTTGACCCTCTAGAGTCTAATTCAAATTCAACTTATGCCTGGCTAAAATTTTCTTTCAGAACCAGTAAAGACCTGGACACAATTTGTGATGGATTAGAAAATAAATGACAATGTTCAATTACTTGCACCAATTACATTTATTCCTCTAATTAATCAGGAAGAGAGTATTTTTATTTAATATAAAGGTAAATGGCTCACTTCCTGTCATGTATTGCAGAAATCAACAATATATGGTCTATTTTGCTCAAAATGGGAAAAATGATAGCTCAATTGATTGGGTGAATAGAAATTGAAAAATAAAATATGTTCAGGTAAATACCTGTTATGGAAACCAATTCAAGTTAGAAGAAGGAAAATGCATAAGCGGTCGACGTTTGAAAAAAATACAATAGCCGACATTTACATCATATATTTATATCAAATGGCAGGCATCTTGATGGTTTTCATGAGCCCTTTAGTTGACTTCAGGCTTCACAGAGAGGAAGGAATTTAAAAAAATGAGGAAGGAGAGGGGGAACAGAAGAGTATTTCAAAGATGTAAGAGGCAAACACAAAGGTAGAAAGAAGGTGAAGTGAGTACTGTGGAAATAGTCGAATATGGCACAGAGTGAGGTGATGGCAGTTTGAAGTGAGAAGTCAACTGCCAGTAAATAGACTTTTTTGTCGTATGAATATACAATGTCCAGGGAGCACCACGTGGTGGTAAGTCTATCACACACCCCGTGTCCGACATTAATTGTATGCAATATATAAATATCAGGTATATCAGGGATATCAGGTAACAATATTATTTGATATGTTCTTGTCACATTGATGCATTTGGTCTGTATTATTTGGTCTGAAAAATCAAATACTATTGAGAATATTTCGAAGAAAATCTTTTTAATAAAACTAGCTTTAAGGATATAATTGGCAGTCGATTTAAAAAATAATTATCCATCTGTTGAATGAAATTTAAAATGATTTCAAGATAGTTTTCGTTCCTTATATATGGAATTCTAACGATGTTTCTAATTTACAGACTTTAAATCTTATTTATTCAAAACCAGTTTATAACTTTCTACCAGGAATAAGGGTTAATGCATAATTGATTTTAAGCAATACAATTCGTCATTACAAATTATCTTTCTCTTTATAATAACAAATGACTCTTTTGAAATTCAACTATTTAAATTCGATTTCTCTTCGAAGAATGTCATCGTTAGTTACTCAACTATAAACATTTCGGTCATTCTTCCTAGCATTAATTTGGTTAATATTTAAATATTTATAGCAACTGGCAAGCTTTTAGATAATAATTATTAACGTTGTAGTTGACTTCGGGGAGAAACGTTAAGTTCGCAAAAAATGGAAAGGAAATACAGAATAACGATTTGGAGGTTTAAAATAGGAATAGACACGATGAAGTGAAAAGGGTATGGTGAGTGCTGTGGAGGTGGTCAAATTTAACACACAGTTTGGTCCAGATTGCTTAAAGTGAACTGCCCATATGTGTATACGTCGCACATGGTGCGATATTGGAGGTTAGTCAATCGCGCATACCCTTCTAAAAATGGAGCTTTAAGCAAACAATAACTACGATAAAATTTTATGGACTAGATATTCAGGATAGGGAAGTTATAATGAATGAATTGTCTAAGAATTAAAATAAAATCGTAGATATCTTCCATAAAATTTTGATAAGTAATTTAATGTATTCTCTGCTCCATTTGGGGGATTAATTTATGATTACAATCGCGAACTTATTTGGATCAATTTAAAAAAATTTATTCAGCCCAAATATAATGTTCTATAATTTTCTAGTTTGCTATATTTCTAGTTGAAATTCACGTAATTTACCATAGTTTTATCATTTTTGACTTCAATTGGATAATACTGAATAATTATTTAAAAAAAGGCTGCATTTTAGTTTTATTATCGTTTATTAATAAATTCGTTTCTCGCTATGGAGTTTAATATAACACATATGACTTATACATTATTAATTGCAGATTCGACAGCGCGTACAAGTGCCTCTGTTTGTATAGATATCTATCGTTTTCACTGGAATTGAAATCGTCACCCTGCATTTTCATTGGTTTGTACATCGAGTTTACACGAAATGCGGGAGAGTGTTAAGGTGTGTTTTTTTTACCTTAGTTAATACGTATTTACTAGGATAAGAAAATAATGTCAACCAGTGTTTTGGCCACTTTGCGTAAATCAATAACCGCACAATCTTCTTGGGCAGATAAAGATGAATTCCTTGATGTCGTTTATTGGATTCGGCAAGTGGTTGGCTTTCTCACTGCCATTATTTTGGGAATTATTCCGATAACAGGTGCTTATGGAATTTTATTATTCTTCGCTATAAATTGTGCATTTGTGTATTTCTATTCAACCACATTTCAAACCGTGGATGAAGAGGAATTTGGCGGATATTCCGAAATCATAAAGGAGGGCTTAATGACTTGTTTTGCGACCTTTTTAGTCGTTTGGATTGTCATCTATGACACTATCTACGGCTCAAAATAGTTTGATTGAAGACCAATGTCTGTGCGTATGCCATACTATAGTCATTTTTCTTTGTGTATTGTTTGTATTTTGCCTACATTAAATGACTTTTTGATTTAATTTCTTACTCTCTTTTTGATGATATTGTTGATAGTTTGGAATTCT